ATTATTTATTTATTTATTTATTTATTTATTTATTTATTCATTTATTGTATTTTTTTAGTTTTTGCATTTATTTCTGTATTTATTTATTTATTTTTTTATTTTTTTTAATTTTTTTTATATTTCTGTATTTATTTCTGTATTTATTTATTTAGTTCTGTAATTATTTATTTATTTCTATATTTATTTATTTCTGTATTTATTTATTTTTGTATTTATTTATTCACTCATTTATATATTTATTTTTTTCTGTATGTATTTATTTATTTATGTGTTTATTTGTTTATTTCTGTAGTTATTCATTTCTGTATTTATTATTTCTGTATTTATTTATATACATATTATTTAGTGTTCATCCATTTATTAAAATTAATTTTGGTATTATTTGTTTATTTGAATTATATTTAATATATTTTTAATTATTATTGGAATATATTTTAAAGCCTAAAATTAGACTTGTCATTTAGAAAAGAAGATTATAATTTTTTGCCATTTTTTTATTTATTAAAAATATTTTGCTAAATATATTTCTATCTTATAAATTATTATGTGTGTTATGATAGCTGTTTAATTTGAATAAAAATCATATGAAAGGCTCATGTTTTTAAAAATTATCTTGTAATATTTGCATTGCAAAAAATGTATTGTTTATAAACATTACAATTAATTTATAATTTTAGCTTATATAATTTATCATTATTTATTTATTTCAATCAAAATTGTGATTAGTATGTCAATCCTTATATTTTATATTTTGTAGATTTTATATATACACTCACCGGCCACTTTATTAGGTACACATGTCCAATTGTTCGTTAATGCAAGTTTCTAATCACAGTCAGTCACATGGCAGTAACTCAATTAATTAATTAATGACCAATTTGAGAATTCTGTCAACACCACAGCCTACCTGAGTATTGCTGCTGACCATGTCCATCCCTTTATGGCCACAGTGTACCCATCTTCTGATGGCTACTTTCAACAGGATAACGCGGCATATCATAAAGCATGAATCATCTCAGACTGGTTTCTTAAACATGACAATGAGTTCACTGTACTCAAATGGCCTCCACAGTCACCAGAACTCAATCCAATAAAGCAACTTTGGGATGTGGTGGAATGGGAGATTCACATCATGGATGTGCAGCCGGCAAATCTGCAGCCACTGCATGATGTTATCATGTCAATTTGGAGCAAAATCTCTGAGGATTTTTTCCAGTACCTTGCTGAATCTCTGCCACCAAAGATTAAGACAGTTCTAAAGGCAAAATGGGGTCCAACTCGGTACAAATAAGGTGTACCTAATAAAGTGGCCGTTAAGTGTATACATGCTAGGGTCTCTTTCAAACCCCAATTTGAAACCCCCTGATTTAGATGATCATGTTTAAAAATGATAATAAAAAAACAAACAAAACATGGTTCTTTTAGGAACAGTTCACTAAAAGATTCTTTGGGGAGCCAGTAATGGTTCTTATATGGCTTTGCTCAACAACAAAAGCCGTGTACAACCAGTACAGCTGCAGGAATCACACATTTAATCATCATTTACTCACAAACCCATTACACAAGGTTTAAAGCAACATTAAACACAGTAAAAGATGGCCCTGCACTGGATATCTGCAGTTTTCTAGTTGTGAATAATTCACGTTGCTCTGTACTGTCTCAGTTAATCAGTTCTAGCAGCAAAAGCATGAATATACTCATCTAAAAACCCACCTCACTTCCTGTCACTCCTACTACTTCCTGTCCCACCCCCAAAGCATGACTAACCTGCTTGTGTTTCCAGCATGAAGAGTTTATTAATAAATGATGCTGATGATACAGTATGTACGCAATGTTGAAAAAAAAGTGATCGCATTTACTCGTGACCTCAAATAAAACAAGATCTACAGGTGAAGGCAGAATTAGTAGCCTAACATTATTTCCCAAGTGCTGTTATTAGATTTTTTTCAACACATAATAATTTAAATAACTAATTTAGTTTTTTATTTGCCATGATAAGCATAGGTATTATTTTGCTAGTTATTTTGAAAGATACTAGCATCCTTAACTAGGCTTTGCTGGGTTAATTACTGAAGGTATTTATTGAACAGCAGTGGTTTGTTCTGTACACAATCACATAGTAATATTCAAATGATTTTGGAAATAAAGTTGAAAACCTGTAACCATGGACATTTTAAAGGGAGAGTTCACTCAAAATTAGAAATTATGTTATCATTTACTTACCCTTTCACATGTTTTAAACCTGTTTGAGTTTCCTGTTTGAGGAAGATAATTGACTTTCATAATATATATATATATCACACTCGTAGCAGTGCAGTGTGGCTTGTAAATTGGCACTGGTGGGAGACGTGCGTTGCCTTAGCGTCCCACCAGTATTTCAGTTTGACGGCATAATCGTGTATATAAATAAAGACAATCAAACACAAAGAGTCTCAAAACCCTTTTGTAAGAGGAACTACTTTTTTCCGCCATTCATTCACATCTGCAGCTGACTTTAGAACAGCAGAAACCGTTGCTCATTCACTAACGTCACGTTAGTGTTTGAATGATTCTCTAGCGTAATGTCTAAAATGATGACTAAACAGGTGATTTTGCTCACATGTTAAGATTATAAGGCTGAACGGCATGAAATGTCATCAGTCTACAGAGATTTCCCAGTATTTCTCTGTTGCAATCGGGAGATCACATTATTACTATGTAATAAATACAGCACTACAACATACAAAAGAGAGAGATCGACTTAGAAAGTCATTTATCAGTTTAATAATGATTTGATCTGCTGTCGTTTGAAATTACGCTGTTTTCTCTTAAGGCTTATTTTGAGTCTCTGTCATCTTGAGCTTGAACATCATCAATTGTCTTTGCTTAAAGACAGGCTAATGGCCGTTGACGTGCTGTCTCTCAGAAATGATAAATATTTTTAAATAGGCACTATTCTTATAAATAAACTGCATAGTTGCAATCTAAACAACTACATTCTCGCCTAAAAAGCCTCAAAAGTACATTATGTTGCCCAACAGCTGCAATATTTGTCAAACTGTAGAGTGTGCTCTGCTTGTTGCTGTATGTGGGTGGAGTAATACAAAAGGGTGGTTAAGAGGCTGGACGAGTGCTGTTACTATTGGATGTTCTGCTGTCAGATGTGTAATATATATATATATATATATATATATATATATATATATATATATATATATATATATATATATATATATATATATATATATATATATATA